CCTACAGCTGGAATGTAGCTAAATTTACAGTTTAAAATCAGCTGTTCCTGTTGATGGACCTCCGACAAAAATAGTCAAAGAAAAGATTCTCATTCAGTTAGTTATATTGCAATTAGGAAGAACTCTAGAGTTGACTATTTTCCAGCTGTTACTCAGTTGGAATGGGTCCGAATTTACAGCTGGAAATTATAGCTGTTTCCAGCTGGGATTTTAAACTGGGGCGTTAGGAGGGATCCACTACATTCCGTCCTAGATTAAAAATGTCAGTTCAAACTTCCCCGCAATGACAAATGTTGTTTTACCGGGACTTGCAGTTTAGCTACTGCATCTCTCGGAAGTAATAGTAACTTGCATTTCGCTTACTCACGCTAGATGTCGTTGTACGCCAGGGGCACAGCAAGTGGATCGGCAGCTTGTCCTATTGTTTTTCACTTGAAACAATGCAATTTTCCTCTTAACTTGAACACCTATGGATGGGATGTTTCCTATGCATGAGTGTCTGAGTCGTGAAAAACACTAGTGATTGCGTCCCTACAAAGTATCACTTACGGCATTTGAGCATGTGAGACGTTTTCCATGCTTTGTTGCCTTGCGTTACTTACGATAAGGAGTGGGACAAAACATTTTCGTCACACGATGTCACACGATTTCGCGCTACGTGTTCTCGACATCACTTGCACCACTATGCCCTGCCATTTCTATTCAGAATCAAGGGTGAACTCCCCTTGCAACCAGGGCTTATACAATAATGTAAACGGGTTGACACATTCATAATTGGAAGAGCAGTGTACATTAAGTACACAAGACCAGTGAAACACATTGCAAGCTCCATTTGGAATCATGCGTCAGTAATACAGTTTGGATGAGAAAATCGTGATCTGCCATCCAAGAAGCAGGGAAGAGACATTGAATGAGCATTCAATTGGTAGGGCTCCATGCATTGGCTGCAAATTAGTTATCACTAATCAAGGTTAACTTCAGACTTGGGTGGCTTCAGTTTTGTGCACACAACAAATGCCAATGGCATCCTAAATCTTTTTCATGTAATGACCTGTAAATGGTATGGCTGCAACGGTGTTACCAATAATTCAAGTTTCTTCTATAGTAAGTGTGCCATGCCCAAGTAACACTTGTGCATTAGGGCACTATGTGCACCAGACACATTGAACCTTGATGGATGGTCCCCTAGATGAATGCATCCAACCTCTGGTTCAGCATATCCTCTTTTAAACTTTCCTGTGACAGCAAGAATCATCACCTCACAATGAATTAGCTAGAATGCACTTTCACCATGTTTATGACCCATCTTCAACTTGAACCTTTCTGCTGTTTTTCCTTGACGTTACAATGGTGAGCCCAGCTCAACAAGGGAGTGAAATGGGTTAGGAACCATTTGTTGGATGCAGGTTTAAGAACTTTTTATCCAAGTCAACCATGGTGCCATGTTTTGATGCCTCTTTGCAGTTCATAAAAAAATTCCAAGTGGGGGATACGGACCATAATACCACTCAACACACACTGGAGAAAGCTTTACTCCAAAGCTAACGATGTCTTTGGACTTTTTGCAATGTTCTCTTAAAGTGCAGGAATTAATATTCCTTCAACTCCTTTGCATTTTGAGCAACCACCTCATTTCAACAGATATAATAAAGCGGGCCAATTATATGAAAATGATATCCATTCAAGTAGGAAAAGGAAAGAGCTGAGAAGACTGTCGTTCAAGCCATCTCTTATATTTCCAAACAGAGCATCATATATTGGATGGTGAAGTGAGAACAAGGGGGGGGAGAGAGATGGAAGATGGCTATTAACGCTTGCGTCGCATATGGAGCGTGTTGCGGCGCTTCCATGCGGCACGCCTGGAACCTCCAATGGTCTGGGAGAACCGATGTCCCTTGCCAAGCCCCCGAGACTTGCGTCCGGCAGATGTCTTTCCACGCAGCTCCCTGTGCTTCTGCACGGGCAAGCAGAGCCATCGTAGACTTGGATCACGACGTACAGCCTGGCAGACAAAGGAAATCCATCAAACCATGTCCCATTCATTACAAGGATATTGGCACAGGGATAAAAACGACTGACCTTATGGAAGGGATCAATGAGAATGACCTCATAGAATTTGTAGGTGGAGTCTTGTCCTACCCAGTAGGAGTTCATGACCCGCAGTGCCTTCACACGACGACCCACGCGCTCCTAATGAACCATAAAATTGAACATGTCTTGGACATTATATCCCAGCCAAATTTAAGAGGTGCTGATATAGTTGAACTGGCAAGTAGCTGTGATAACAGGACTGATCAACGCATTTCTATTAAATGACAACAGAATAGCAGATGCATATTTTAACAATACCCTGGTTTCATACATCTGGGGGAATTCTACAGGGTGGCCCATAAGTCCCAATTGGTTACAATAAAAGTTGTGAAAAAATCCACCAAGGCATTGAGATGGATGGTTCCAATACACATGTGCTTCCAAGTACTGTCCTCCTCACCCATAAGAAATGTCAGTGAGTCAAGTGAACACAGGGACAGACACAAGTTTGAAAAATGCTTGGTTGCAAGTGATTGGGATAATGAAAGAAGAAATACAGTCGTCCCTCGCCACTTCGCGCTTCGACTTTCGCGGCTTCACTCTATCGCGGTTTTTTTCAAATACCTGTATATTGGGTAATACTCCGCGAAAGTCGAAGCGCGAAGTGGCGAGGGACGACTGTACCTGTAAGACATCAGATGAGATTTTAAAATCCATTTTGGAAAAGAAGCACCAACAGTGGCAAATCTTAGACTCACCAAAGAAATCAACTCGGAAAAAGATAATCTGAATCTGAATTAGGTCATCAATGCAGTGAGTTATGAAAAAGGTTACAAACATTTCAAGCCATTAGCAGTGAATGAACTAAGTGACAGGGACAAGGATAAGCAGCAAGAAGCATCTAAAATTTTGCTCAATCAATTTCCTTCCCTTGCTTCTCGCTGTTTTGTGCCATTCTCAGACCAAAGTGCAATTTAATTGAGTGCTCATTCAAGGAACATGTGTTTTTGGGGAAAAGAAAATCCCCACTACTTTTTTCTGGATGGTGGAATTACTGGGGAAAAATACTTGGATATGCTTGAACACTAGCTCATTCCTGAGATGGACAGATGCAGGATGAATAATAATGCTATCTTACAACAAGATGGCGCGTCAGCCCATTACTCAGTCGCAGTTTTTGTCATGGCGATTCCCCATCTGGATTGGTCTATCAGGTCCCCTACCTTGGCCTGTCCATAGCCCCAATTTGATGTGTGACAATTGGCTTTGGTCACTTGTAAAGGAGCAAGTGAGCAAGGTGCAGATGCATAATGTGGAAGAATTGAGAGTAGCCATCTGCAACGCCTTTACAAGGATTACCCCTGAAATGTTGAGGAGAGTATACTTGCAAACATGGCGTTGCATAGAACCTTGTGTTACTCATGATGGAGCTCACACTGATGTAATAGATTACTAAGGAAAGTATTTGTCAAGATGGTTATATTTTGTACTTTGAATAATCAATAAATATTTCTAACTTTATAACACAATTTTTGCTTTCTTTGATTTATTTTGTGTTTTCACTTTAATTATAACCGATTGGGACTTATGGGCCAACCTGTACATCAGAATAGTACATTTTTATGTTTATGGTATTATCATTACTTCACACTTCAAGAGAATAATCATCAGAAAGGTCATCATGAACAGATGGATATACCAACATGTACAAAACTCTTTTTGTGCCTTCTCTGACCATAGTACCAAGATTTAGATGTCAACATCCAACATTGACATAGGTATAAGTACCTCAGCGAGTGCCTGAAGATTCCTTTTGGGCTTGAGCTGGTTCACACCATGATTTGTGGGCTTCCCACTCGTACGCCCTCCTGGTACTTGCTTCTTGCGTCCTCCTCGTCTCACACGAATACGATATATCACAAAGCCTGTAAGACAGCATAATTTGTGGTTGAGTTAAAATGTTCTGTTTCCAAGCACATATTTCTGGTTTTACCATGAAGGGTTAAGGCTAAGCAGAGAGATAAACATAAAGAAGCATAAATATGATCTGCATATGAAAAAGTAGATATAAGAGGCACAGAAGATGTTGACCAAATTGAGACTCCATGCAAAAGAAGTGTTTGAAGTGCAACATGTTACATTCATTCTTTCTTTCAAGCCTTTTCTCAACTCTACAGCATCATGTATCCTAATCCCTCATAAGCAATGGAACAATACACTTGTTAATAACACACATTCTGTGGGACTTGCTGTATCCATCTGGTTTTGTAAGCTACTCACAGTAACTTCAAGTCACATGCTGACAGGAACTTTGAATCAACTCCTTAGATAATTTTTACATGACTTTGATGCTTCCTTATTATGGGAGAGTTAAAGCAGATTTATGAAGTAAGTTTTAAAAAATGTATGACATCCATCAAATTGGCCCACATCACCTTGCTTTGCACGATACCCAAGGCGTCGTGCCTTATCTGGTCGTGAAGGACGAGGAGTACGATGAAGAGTGTTGAGTTGTCTATACTGCCAACATCGGATACGAAGCAGGTAGCGCATGACATCTGACTGCTTCTTCCGGTAGAGCTCTTGCACATACTTGTAGGCTCCCATCTTCGCTGTTTAGGATCTTGAAAAAACAAAAACATTTGAACCATTGTGGGCTGTCAGTATTGTTCAAGTACACCAAAACCAACTCATAATCCCTTCAGTGCCTTGTTTTATAAGAGAAAGGAAACCAATTGAATTGCCTCTCAGCAATTCTTATACTTTCCATCTCTTGCATTATTTTAAGATCAGGGGGTGACTATAGATGCCACATGGCATCTATATCCACCTGACCACAGAATGGTGATCAGCCTGAACTGATCAGTCATCATTCACTGTACAAGACACCAAAAACTTGACACTCCTCTCTCAACAACTTATTGCAATTCAGGTATGAAAACGAAGTTTTCTTTCTCTACTTCTTCGTGAGAAAGTCTAATGATCTGCAAACTGGTAAAATAATTAGACGCCAAGAACTAAGAAAATGTCCAAGCATAGGCTATGAACTCATTCAAATAGCAATTCGCAGGCTTACAGTGCTTTCACTTTGAATTCGTACCACCTTTAGCATTGGCCAAGGCGATATTATGGACTTATGGAAGATGCAACCGAGTGACGGGCTCCTTCCGGCCTTCGAATTCTTCCATGCGGTACGTTTTAAATTTGCTGATTCAGATGTAAAAACAATATAGTATGGCGAAGTTAGGGCAAGTCCTTAGGGTAGACCTAGGCCTCATGTTAGGCCAAAATGATAAGAGCCTTACATCAGCCCTGCACGATGGAGGCCTAACGTTAAGCGAAAAAGTTTGATAATGGAGGCCAAACGTGAGGCCGAGTCGGTCAACCCTCGAGTTAGGCCGAAAATCCATCAAATCGGCAGAATATAACTTCGCCTAATTAAAAACCGGCATAACTTCGTGCTTGAAAGATGGAGTGAACTCGAGTTACTAACCTGGACCCAATGGAAACGACGAGAAATTCACAGGGTCACAGGAGAATCGTGCATGTCATCATGGACGATGACGGGAGAAAGAGAGTTGCCCGCTACTTCAACCAGGTGGCAGCATCTGTCGCTCGAGTCTCCGCGTGGCCTCCCGCCAGAACAGTCCATGTCTCCGCTCGCTTCCTCACCTGCATCTTGTCCTGCTGTTTTCTTTCTTAAGGGCCAGACTGATTGATTATTAAGATCAGCGTCGTTTCTCGTACAGGAATAGCATGTACGGAGTTTTGGGGGCCTTTTCATCACGCGCTTTGTCCAAAGGCAAGCGGGATTCGCCTACTCGCGTAAAAGGGTGTTTTGAGGATTATCGGAAATCAGAAACTACAAAATGTATCAAAATTATGTGGTTGGCTTATTTTTGTGATTAGGAAGTCAAGAGCATCATTTGGAACTGCATACTCGATTACTTTTTTTTTCTTATAGCTTAGGAAGTTGTGACATAAAATTTGGCATAGAAACGTATTTATAAGTCGAAAACGAGAGTATACAAGTTTTGCTCGAAAACTTTCAATGATAAAAAAAAGCTACGCCTGCTAATGAGCTTCTCGCAGCGTGAAGGGGATGCACGGACTGCATGGACCTGCCTCACGAGTGCCTCCCCGTCTCCTCTCAACGGAGGAAGGTGTCACTTCACTCTGCGGCGAGTGTGATGCTCGACTGTCAAAACAAAAACGGTGAATTGGATTCCATCATTATTGTCCCAATTCTAGAGGTATTCCTGATAAAACCTCGATCTTCGTGTGAATGATGAGAGAAGAGAGAAAGAATTTTTTGCATCAAGCCGTCCCAGCATTTGCACAAAAAAACTGCAAAACTCATGGTGACGGAGTTGGAGGTATTCACTCACTAATCTGCGGTAATACCTCCATTGATCTTTGACGGTGTGCGGTTTCTCTCGAATTCGTGCCTTGGACGTTAAATGTTGAAGTCACCTCTTTTGAAACGAGGGCAGATTTATATTACCAAGAACCTCATAAAAGAAAATGGCCCTAAAATGCGATAATAAAACCTTGTACGACCCAATATGACCTCGTGACACAATAGCGAAGAGACCCCCATGGACCCAACACGGTCTCATTTCCCGCAGGAAGACCCGGTCCTGCCCGAATCCCCCACGATGTCAATCGGCCTCCCCCCACGGACCACAATGGGCGAAGCCTCGAGTCGCGGGGGGGACTGGGACGAGGGGGAGGCCTCTCATCTTCGATTGTACGAGGGGGGGGGGGGGGGGGAAAAGGAGGANGGGGGGGGTGGGGGGGGGGGGGGGGGGGGGGGGGGGGGGAAATGAAGCATCTCGGCGCGCGTGCGCAGAGCCACATCCTCTCTCCCCCTGCACCCAGTGTCTCGGCCTTCTTCAGAGTTCCCAAGCCTCAGCATCGCGTAGTGAGACCCCCGCATCCCTCCCATCCCTTCCGGGGATTTCCGCTCAGACGAGCGACGACGTCGGCGACTCACGGACCCCCTCGCGGTGAGGCCTCGGCTTTTCCTTCTCTCTTGCTTCTTCGTCTTCACTCTTTTCCCAAATCGGATTTTCCTGTTTGCTCATTTCGGAATGGGCCTTAAAGGTCTTAAGGACTATTTCCTCACGCTTTAGTCAGCCTTCGCACTTTAAACCACGAAGTCCCTTTCCGGTTACTACCGTTACTCGGACTTAACCGCGTTTTCGAGGTCAGGATGGACGATGTGACCCCCGTGTGAGCCGTGACACGCACTCACTGGGACAGTCATTCATCGCCTGTCACATTGTTCATGCAGGTCAAAGAAGATCCTCTTGTCTCTCCCGAGATGCAAAGTGGGTCGACATTTTTTTTTTTCCGAGACGAAAAACAAGGTTTATTGAAAACAATAAACCAGTGCAATTTTCTTGCAATATTTGCAATCCCACATGTCCCAGTCCCGCGGGACCACTCAGCCTTGTTTACGACACATTCGGAAATGGATATTTAAATTAGATGCAATATTTTAAATCAGATGTGTTCCATTCCCGTCCGTGACCATAAAATCCAGTTTTTTTTTTCTTCGGATAAAATATTCGATGCAATCTGAAGGGAAGAAAAATCCGAAGCCGCATTAATATTACATCGGATAAATATTTACTCTCATATCATATCCAAGAAAGAAAAGTACTTTAGTAAGTGTTTATGACAGCCATAATGTACATGATGAAGCCTGTCATAATCCTGCCTGTCCGAACGATGAGCTTGATGATGATGATGAACTTGTTGCTCCGGAGCATTCCCGATAACGAGAGGCCCGAAAACCGGAAGGCTTCTTTCAATACAATCCACGCTCGACATAACAAATGTTCTTTTTAACGATTTTTTTTTTCCAGTCCCCGGCCGTTCGCCCATTCACATGGGAAGAATTTATCGATAAGTATATAGGGGAAAATCTATCAAAATTTAGCACTTTCTCATTATTTTTATTGTCGGACTATTCCATGACAAAACGTCCCAAAAATTCGCAAATTAACACCCGATCATCTTAGATTTTGATGACATTCCTAAATCAAGGTTATTATATCCGAAAACTCGGAAAGGTAATAGTTCAGTCCCATCGGGTCAATAAGTCAGATGCTACGGGATGGCCAAAATGTAGGGTCACCTTCTAACCTCAGATTTTGATATCCCTGTAACTCAAGAACTATTCGTTCTAGAGTCTTGACTAAGGTGTCGATTCACTGGAAATCGCCTGAAAATGTCAAAATATGTATTATAAGATCATTTGAATCAAAAACACACAATGTTATTTATGGACAAAAAATTTGACCTTTGAACCCCCCAAAAATTAAAATCTAAAAAAATACCATGAAAAGGGCAATGACTCTGCTACTAATATGCAAAATTACGGATAAGTAATATTTTATTGTATTCCGTCAATAAATTTTTGAATCAGAAAATCCCGCATTCCGGATTCCGGATCAAGTAATAGAAATGATGGTTGCGTGTGCGAATGGGATTTCCTTGCAGAAATTCATGCATGATGAACTCTGAGATATGACGACATTCAAAATTTCAGAGCTCTAGCCCAAACGGTTTAGAAGATACTGAGCCCCAAAGGTAGCCCTCCGTGGGAAAAGTCATCCCAATAATCAAACGGGTACTTTAGTCCTTAATTGGAAAAGAGTTCGACAGTCGAACTTGTCTCTTGAGAAGAGCAGACCAACATCATGAATCAATTCCCCAGATTCAGCCTATTGTAAAATGTACAAATCTAGAGAAAATTATTTGAATACTGCATGGTACTGAATCCTAAACCATAGAATATTATTGGACCGTCGTCTTCCTAACGATTTTGCAGCATTAGTCGAATACACTTGACGATATTGGTTTGCACTTGTCAGGTGGCGTGAAATGATACTATCATTTCCCAGTAACTTTAATCTGTAACATAATCGAATTCCGGAGTTGGGGGCTGCATTCACATGGCAAGGTTTTAGTTGCTGGAGTGTCTTTCTCGACAAGTGTAAATATACATGCAAGTCTAAATGCTGAACCTGGTGAGAAGATTTTATTGTCAACTTCACAGAGTATTGATATAACGTTGACATTTTACTCAGGCGTCTACCTCCTGTAAAAAAAAAAAAAAAAAAAAAAAAAAAAATAAAAAAAAAAAAAAAAAAANGAGGGGGCTTTCATGTAGCACATGTTTCTCATTCTTATCTTGTTTGAAACATGAAATAAAAGCCGTGAAAAGAGTAGAAAATGACAACCTTGCAGTTTTCAAATGAAACTTCCCGTTCTTTCAAAGTATATAGTTCCAATTTAGCTATTTTCATCGTTATTATCTATAGTATTTTAACATAACAGGAGCTCATTGTGTTACCGTGATTCCCACATTATGAAAATTAAGAAAATCCGTATCGTATTTGTTAAGAAACATGGTTAACTACGAAAAGCGAAAACCTGTCAAATCTGATTAAGCGTAGTCTCAGCTTTCATTTTAGGCCAACATTTTTTTCCTGGCTCAACTAGAGCCAAAGATAGCCGTCTAACCTTTAGGGTGACTTTTCCCACGGAGAACCTTTGGGGTTCAATATCTTCTAAACCGTTCGGGCTAGAGCTCTGAAATTTGGAATGTCATCATATCTCAGAGAGTTCATCATGTATGAAGTTTTGCAAATGAATCCCAGTCGCACACACAACCACGATTTCAATTACTTGAGCCGGAATGGTATCACATGTGGTAGGGATCTTCTGATTTAAAAATTTATTGGCGGAATACAAAAAAATATTACTTATCCGTAATTTTGCATATTAGTAGCAGAGTCATTGCCCTTTTCATGGTATTTTTTTAAATTTTAACTTTTGGGGGTTCATGCTAAGTTCAAAGGTAGATTTTTTTCCATAAATAGCATTGTGTTTTTTTTTAATTATTAAAATGATATTATAGTACATATTTTGAAATTTTCAGGCGATTTCCAGTGAATCGACATCTTAGTCGAGGCTCTAGAACGAATAGTTCTTGAGTTACAGGGATATCAAAATCGGAGGTTAGAAGGTGACCCTACGTTTTGACCACCCTGTAGCATCTGACCTATTGACCCGATGGGACTGAAATATTACATTTCCGAGTTCTCGGACATAATAGCCTTGCATTAAAAATTTCATAAAATCTGAGATGGTCGAGTGTTATCCATTGGTTGATTTGTCATGGAATCACCCTGTTGTGACCGTAGAGAGTAAGGGAGCGACATCGACCAGCCCTTTATCTTCTCGGGATCCAAAGGACTCGGCCTTAAGGTCAGGCCGAAAGTTGAGAAACTTGAAAATTTTGGAAAGTTCGAATTTTTTTGCACGAAAGGACGACCTTTCTTAGCAAAATGAAATTTTCGCCTGTTCCCATTTCATTAGTTTTCATTATTTATTAAGTAAACTACCTGTCATCTGATAGACTAACTCAAAAAGTTTAGTGTTGAAAAACGTGTTCAAACTGTTCACCGTTTGGACACAGCAGTGTTTCCAATAACATCGTCGAGTGTGTTATGGAGCCCCGTAAACGTTTCAGTTCATCAACGATGTATGGATTTGTGGAGAAAACCTTTTCTTCAAGGAAATCCCACAAAGAATATTAATAATATACAGAGTAAAGGGTATTCATAAATTTATTGAAATCCATTCAACTGTTACTGTGAAGAGAGAATTTAGACGATAGTTTCCCACACATCCATCAAATCCAACGCTTAAGAATATCATTGATAAGTTTGAAGAGAAATCGTTGAGTATGAGAGAGGACATCTCGCGGCCAGCAAAGTTTCATCTTATACTGTACTGCTAGATTTTTTTAAGTTAAAAAAAATGTTATGGGGTTTCTTTGAAGAGAAGGTTTTCTGTACAAATCCACACGTCGTCGATGAACTCAAACGTTCTGCGGTTGCAGCGCTCCGTGACCCATGAGGCACTCAACGTTGTTGAAAACGCTGCTGTATGTTACGGATTGCCCAAAGGAATGCCCTTACAAAAATTTCTTACCTGAGGTAAAATTGGGACGATGAAACTGAGGTAAAAAAAAAAAAGATAAAAAAAAAGCACTTTTTCTTCCCTCCCTCAACCTGTGAGGTTGATAAAGATCAAGGGAAAAAACGGTTAAATTTGGACGAACGAGGGGGTAGCGTTTTGTATGGGCGGTGAACGGTTTGAACGCTTTTTCAAGACTAAACTTTTTGAGTTTGTCTATCAGATGACATGCAATTTACTTTTAACAAATGATGAAAATATAGGTTAATGAAATGTGAAGCATTTTTTGTTGCCACCCTGCTCGAGTGAATAAATAAATAGGAAAGAATCTCATTTAAAGCATCATGAAAATTAAATATTAGAATTATCTGGGTGGGTGACATTGCAATTTTAATTTTAATAGGTCTGCACGAGTTGCTGTTTGCATCAAGGGTCGAAGGGGTGTCGGAGTGATGTCGTCGGGTCGGACCGCATGAGAATGGCGGCGTCGGTCCCGATCGGGGAGGAGAGGCAGTACAACTGTGAGTTTCCCTGATTTTTTTTTGAATCAGTTTGGACGAGGATTGAAGGATGTGCGGTACTGCAGTTCTGGGGAGCGAGTACTGCGCGGGGTACCGGGATGCGTTCGGGGGGTGGACGGAGGGCTTCTACTGCCCGAAGCCGGAATCGCAGCACGAGGTGTATTGCTGCGGGGCGCCGAGTTACAAGTACTGCTGTGCGAGGAGGGACCAGCATCTGCTGGAGGAGACGGACATGTGGGTTTTGTGGGGGGGGGGGGGGGGGGGGGGGGGGGGGGGGGTTAAGGTAACAACCACAAAAACCAGAATAACATTTTTGTTCTTCAAGGTATATAAATGAAAATTTGCACAGAGATGCGATTTATCTTTACCAATAAGTATATGAAAAAAGAGAAACTTTGATAATGTGTGTGCCGTAGTGCAACTACGCCTATTTACGCTCCACGTGCGGTAGCGGGTTGTCGTGACGCTTGCATCCCGAAAACGTGTAGGCGGAAGAGTGTACCGTCTGGAGAGCAGCAGCATGACGAGCGGGATGGCGAACATGTACTCAGGGTCCGCGGGTCCCGGGACGCCAGTGACGGCAACGGGACACGTCCCCACGTCTCTCATCCCCATCCCCATCCCCATCCCCGCGTCGAGCGGGACCGCCAGCACCCTCCCGAGACAGGCCCCGCTCAACCGCACCTTCAGGCCCTCGGGTATGTCCCCCGAATCCCCCCGACTCTCCCCGACACTCCCCGACCGCGAATGCCTTGTCCATTGCAGATTCCTCCACGCTGCGTCGGGACCGCTCTCGCTCCCGAGACGACGAAGAGCCCGAGAAGGAAAGAAAGAAAGACAAAGCCGACGCGGAAGGAGACGAAGGAGAGGACGACGACGAGGAGGAGGAAGAGGAGGAGAGGCCGTTGGTCGAACCACCTGCTCCATTCAACAATCCCAGAATCACTCCCATTCAAACCACCGTCCCTTCTTCCACCGATACGTCAACGTCAGTAGTTTCTTTTTGCATTATTAATATTTTCATGTTAATTTTTTCAATTTTCAATTTAATTTAATTTCGTTCTGGTTGATTCTAACGATGCATATTTTACAGGACGATGAGTTCATTCTCGTCTGCCACTATCGGGAGGCCCCGAAGCTTCGCGGGCCACCTCCATCCCAATCCCCATCATCATCACTACCAGCAGCACCATCACCACGAGTACCGCCATCTGTCGGGGACGGCGACGCTGGGGCCCGGTCGACGGAGCCACAGCTCCACCTCCACCCACGTCCTCCCGCCTGAAGACGCTCTCTACAGATCCACAAAGTTCTGAACATGCACAGGGAACGTGAGCAGGGAACCCGAAATGAGCGCGCTCAGGTGAATCTCACACTACTGCCGCATAGAGGTGCCTCGTTCGCATCGCGAACAATCGCTTTCAGGACGCAACGCCCAGTTTTGCACAGCATCCAATTTTGCACAACATCCAGATTTGCACAGCGTCCATCTGTGACCCAATGTGTAGAGGGTGAATGTTTCGATAGCCGTTAAGACGTGTCTGTGCCAAATGAGCTGTGGTTCAGTGTTTACATAGACTTTTGGCATGGTTTAATGCATTTTTAGCAGAGACTCTTTTCAGCTGGAGTAACAACAGGGAGAGGAAAGGGGATTTAAAGAGGATTTTCTGATTTCATTCCGATTCGATTTGGGACCCATCGCTTAAATCTTCCCAGTGTTACAACTGGGCTTTGCAGCATTACTTCAATGCAAAAATGTAAGTTAAGAAAAGAGCTTATTTGTGATGGCGTACTCAAAGATGAGATCTGGACTGGGCTTTTGTCAGCTTCTTTTGCGTATTTTCTAACATTGGTTTCGGGATCTTATTGATGCGGAGGTTGTACAGAATGTCTTTCTGTAGACAAATTTTATTTATTTATTGAGTCTGGAGTAACCGTTTATTTTGTGCTTAGATTGACTGCATGTTTACCCCAGATTGATGTCACTTCTTTCTTCCTTTCCTTTCTCTGGCTCTTCTTTGAAAACAGTATCAGGGAGTCTTGGCATGCCTCAAGAGTTACAGCCAATTGAATCAAGAAAATCGTCAAATGTTGAATCCACTGCTAGAACATTGAGGAACATACTTTTTGTGTGGGAATATTTTATGGGTGGCAATGGGGGAGGGGAGGGGAGGGGAGGAGGGTGCTGAAGTGCCTTCTTGACCCAAACAAAACGTGACACCACTCCAAGGTCTGCATGCAGTCAGTCAATGCAAAATATTCTTTCCTTCAGATTTCATGGTAAAAAAAAGTTGCCCATAATCATATTAAGGAACACAAAAGTTTTTATATTTTCATAAAAATCTATGTTGCAATCACTCTGCCATTCCAAAGAAGTTGACTCAGCCTACACTAAATGTCTCTAATAAGGAAAGAGAGACCTTGTCCATGCTTCCACACTTATGAGGTGCATTCAGTTCAAGAAATGCTTAATGATGCACTAATGATGTCACTTCATTCAGGATTAGCTCATATTTTAGAAAGCAACTGCAAATTATTTTGTCTTTTCTTTCATTCATTGTGCTTGGAAATATTTGAATCCAGAGCAACATCACTGGAAAATGTTTGTCCAAACAAGTTTGTGGGGAGGCAGTAGTCTTGGGACATACATTTCATTGTTTTTTGTCACTGAATTGTTTTGCTGACTGTCTTTAAAATGAAATCAGTGTTTATTATTTTGTGTAAAAAAAATTGCACCAGATTAATGTGGAAAATACAGGGTATGTGGGGAACACATCAAGCAACAGCTTAGCAAAATCAGTTTTCTTTTATACTGAGGCAGAAATGCAAAAAAATTGACAAGTGAAACTTTTTGAATGCAACTCATTGATAATAATTGGAATTAAAATGTTCTGTCTCTGTTTCCACCGCAAGTACCTGAATTGAGGGCCCAGACGTGGAACATTTTGAGAGGATGAGGTGATGGCAAAAAGGGATTCAACTCATGGGTGCTGTGCTCATTTGCTTGACTGACAAGTTTATTACAGGACTTGTAATATGCCAAGGAACTGTTGGAGGCAATTTTGTGAAGTCTGCTTATTCTCCACATCTGCCAGAGGATTGACCAGCCGATCCAATTAAAATTGGAGGAATGGATGCAGTCATTAAAAAGTTCTTGGTCTATTTGGGATTGAGAGAGTTACAAAGACTATTTAAAAGTTTCTCAAAATGATTCAGTGCGAAACAAGGAATCTTGTGGCATCATTCCCCAAAAGCTAGGAAACAAGGTGGCTGTGGGTTATAAGCATTGTTTGCACAGACTTGAGGGATTCATGGACATACTGGACTATGTCCACAAAATAGTATTTCTTTCCTAGAACTCATTCTTTTCTCACATAACAGCAGGACTAAGGCAAATGACTGCATTTCATTAATCATTAAGGCTTCTCAAAATACTTGTGAAAAATCCAGTAATTGTATAGTTACTGTTAGAATTTTAATAATTCATTACCAATGGCAACGGTAAGTCAACAATTATTTCAATAATGCTTATATCATCTTTTCAAAATTTGCTACAGTATAACAATCATTCCTCCAGGAAATGTTTTTTGAAACAGGGCTTTATCCCTTTGCAATCTCATCTCATGCAAGCAATTTACATGCATTGAGCGAGTCAGATTCCAATGTCAATGGCCTGCAGAATAACTCCCTAACTGGAGAGTGATTTAAAGGGTGGTTTATGTTCATTCAATTTATGTGGTCAGAATTTTTTGGGCTTCCATGAATGCAGTTTTGTTGCTCACATTTTTTTTTCACTTTTGCACTGTCAATGTATTGAGGTACATTCTGTTATCTACTAACTATATTGAACACTTATCTTTGCTTGGCTGAGTATTTAAAAAATTTGAGGGAGCAGTTAAAGCTGCACTGCCCAGTTAAAGGGTTAACTATGCATCCTTGCTACTTGGAGCAAGATCCCAAGAGATACTTTGTTAAGTAAATTCCCATTCTTCTACTACCAACTAAGAAAGCTAAATCAGTCTTCCTAAGGTTTCCACTTGAATTGTTCCTGGCTTTCTGTGGTGAAATTACCTAAAACTGTTGAATTATTTGGTGAAGGTGCAAATTGTAAACTGTCTTGGTGTGCTCCCCCTTTCGTGCATGTTATCCTATCTTCCATTGTGCTTCCTCCCTCCCCCAGCTCTCAGAGAGAAGAGGCCCTGAGTCTTTACCAGTAAAGCACCAAGAATGAAATTGAAATGCATTAACCCTTTCAGACCCAAATTAAGGCCACTATCGGAATACCATACTTTTTTGCATTTTGGAGCTCTTTTGCTATTCTACTTTTAAATTTTTATGTTCTACATAACGTTTTTATATTTTGTATCCATTTACCATATCATATATATTTTGTATCCATTTACCATATCATACCATATATTACCTATTATACATGTAATTATATAACAGAAAATTACAAAACTGAGAGATGAAAGAAGGCCTCTGATGAAATTGAGCCATGCATAATTACACCCATTTTAGTGTAATATAGGGTACAAGGTCACAAGAACCCCAAGGAATTACCATAGACACAATGAAAATGCAATGTCCATTAGAATGGATGCCAGGTCTGAAAGGGTTAAACATCTGTTTAATGCTTGCTTCTCCCATTCATAAGCACTCAGGCCTGTTTACTTCCACTTGAAAGATGGCCAGACTGGAAATATCAAAGCCATCCCATATACTAAGTGAATCAGTGACATGGAATCCCATAAGACATGTAACAGAAGTGCTAGGATACATATAATATATATGGATAACATATGCTTCATGTGATTATGGATATTTTATAGTCATTCCAATAAAAGACAAGATTTCTCCAAAATGAGGTCAACTTCATTCAGTAGAAGAATCTCTAGACAGAAGATCTTGATTTTAAAAACAATGAGAGACTCATTGACAAGGAGCATGTATGGGAACGTGCGGAAGACGTGTTCCCATCTGGGAAACTGGGCCAAGAGGACCGGGACTTAACCAATGAATTTCATTCGACTAGAGGGACAAACCAGACTGGTAAGAACGAGAAAAATGGGGCAGGCAGAAAAATAATGCATTTCCATGCAGTAAAGCCCCATAGCCAGAATCAGAGTAGAAGGAATGGTCCCCAACAAAACACAGTGATGGTTCATGCTACACCAGCATGTTCACAACATAAAAAAGTCTGTGTTGGTCTTGTCTCCATTCCTGTTCAGGACATCACAAGTATACAACTGACTGTATGGTACACCATTATTCCACGTGAAATAAAAAAAAACCCTGGGGGGAGGATGGAAGCGCGAACCGACCTTGGAATGTCCAATAAATTGAAGGGAAATGAATAAAAACAACCTGGGGGAAATCTGATGAAAACAATAATAGTGTGCTCTCCCGAAGAGAAACTAAGCAGCACAAGTGTCCATCACAGATACATTCTCATCAGCCTGGTGCCTCTAACAAGAAGAGACATGAAAGCATTTGCTTCATGAGCAAGAAAGTGCTTGAGCACTGTCGGATCCAATCACGAGTCGCAGGAGAGCTGTGTCTCCACTGCTCCTAGGAGAGATGTGGCTGCATCATCATCATCTTCATCATCCTCATCATCTTCGTCTTCATCTTCGTCCTCCTCTCGTCTTTCTTTTTTGACGGGAGGTGGCATAGACTTTCTAGGTTCTCCTTTCCTCTTGTTCCCAGTCCGTGCCTTCTCAGCATCATTTTTCTCCATTTCATCTTCTTTGTCTTGACTGCTTCCATCATCTCCACTCATGCCTTCTGATTCTGAAACATCCCAAAAGACAATGTCACAATGTCAACACATTGAATGTCACAGAGCAAACCTGCATGTTGCAAAATCTTCATCTGGCAGTTAAATTGCTCACCTGGGCCAAAATCATCATCCCCTCGTGATGCATACTCACTGTCCTCCATTTTGAGGATGTACGGGATAACTGAGTGAATCTGGACATTCCCAATGAGTCCAGCAAAGAAGAGCTCCTCATTGAGAGAGGCCTGGAGGCTCTTGAGAGCAGGAAGACGCAGGAGGAGTCGACTCATCCTGTCTTCCCCCCCCTCCTCATTTACCTTCTCCTTCACATGATTGCGCAGCTCTTCCAGGGCCTTCTCTTGAGCCCTTTCCACCACCTTTCGATTCCCAATGCTGGGAAGATCTGATCAAACAAGGAGGAATGACAATCACAGATGACCACTAATGAGAAGGCTTCCAGCATCTGTTCCATTGCCAACTGACCAGGGCTGAAGAGGAGAATGGCTTTGAGACAGGCGAACTCCTTCGCATCAACCTCCATCCGAACCATGCTCGTCACAAGCTCCCTGATTCGGGCTATGTGCTCGGCCACCTGAATAAAATGAGTCGATCTATAACCAAAGATGTCATCTTGAAATTATTAAGTCAAACTTCAAAATTATATTGCTTTCCAAATAAAGTCTCTCAATCTGAAGCTACACATCCCACAACAAAGCCTCTATTGTAAACCCAAGATAGAGAGAGCCACCTATGGGCGATGCAAGTGGCCCATGGACTGACCTGGTTTATCTTCTGGACAGGTATAGAATCATGATTAAGTGCAAGTTGAAGATGTGTGATGATGGTGGAGAGGATCTTCTTCAACCCCATCACATCATGACACTGAGCCATGCCCAAAGTGAAGAGTTCTGACCAACAGCCTCGGATCAGGGCTTCACGGGTCTCTTGGCTGCTGGTATGAAGGATCGCATGGAAGCTTTAGAGCACTTCAACTCAAATGGCAGATGAAGAAAATGTTTAAAGTCTCACGAGAGAGCTTGGAAGAGGGGGATTGTTTTTGCCCAATGGATGGACAAGAACAGGAGGCGAGATGCAGTCTCACAGATGTAATGGACATTGAGGTGAGACGGGACCGGTGAGGGAGTCGTGAGCCTGAAGACCACACTTTCATCACTCAGCAGTTGCTCCTCCAAACTCACAGAGACTTCCCCGTCACTGTCGCCGTCTTCGTCCCCGTCATCCGACTTGTCAAAATCCCCCGTTGAGATCTACATACAAGTGCACAACCAAAACATAAGTATGACGTGGACACCAGGTGTACACAGACCCAAACCCTGATGGAAAAATGGATTTTACCAAGCGATTCATCGTTTCTAGAGCTCTCTCCTTCACAGGAGTGACAATTGTATTGGGAAGGGATGAAATGTCTCCATTCATGGACTTTGGACTCTCACTGGCCATGGGTCTCTCTCTTGCACTGCTGGCATGCACTGACGTCATCAATGGCGCTGTGGGAACAATCGCATATAACAAATTAAAAGGTTGAAACCTTTAAAATTTTTGGAATTCTCCATTACGATGAAGAACTGAACTGCATTTTTCAAAGAGTAGGGATATCACCCCTGTCTGATCAAGTTAACTACTACGGTGATTTTTCTCATCATTTTCCACAAAGATTCATAATTTCCTTTTTTAGTTAAACAGACCTGCTGTTGTTTAATTAAAAAAAGGTTGAATGAGTGACGAATACAAGTTCAACTAAAACGAAAGACAACTAAATTCTGCGCAACAGTTTTCCCGCAACCACATACAAAAACAGACAATTCCAAGACGACAAATTCCCAAGAACACTAACGTTTGTGACTGCTGTTCATAAGCCCTGCCTCCAGGAGCGTGTTCATCCTCTCCTGGAAGTTGATGCTGAGCTGATCCGTGCCCCCAGAGTCGCTCCCGCTCCCATACTCCCTCCGGATGTAGATCTTGCTGTTCCCGTTCCCGAGGCCCAGGGACCCCCCAGACGTCGACCCGAGGACCATCCCCCTCTGCGGCTCCATCCCAATGGGTCGCCGCTCCGACTGCACAGCTGAAACAGCCCGAGCTGTAAATGCCTCTTGTTTCTGCTTCATCGCCGCGAATGCCGCCATACCCCCTCCCACAAGCAAAACGGAACCAAGACAATGCAGTTACCATCACACCGCATGCCCATAGCAAGGCACTTTTGAAGCCGACAGAACTGGCATCGATTCCGGTGGTGCTTCGTCACTTCGCAGTCCTTCTTCCCTCGACAGACGTAAGCCAACTGCTTCCGGATGCTGCGTTTGAAGAACCCTTTGCATCCCTCGCAACTGATGGCACCGTAGTGCCTTCCTGCAAGTACACCCACACGCGTCAGAAACATCCCCACCGGTGGCAACATTTAAAAAATTTTAAAACGCGAAAAATAATGCCAACCAGAAGCCCTGTCTCCACATACGACGCAAAGCTCCACCTGCATACCGAGGGTGGACTTGGGATCATCCTTATCTGCCAACCGGTAACTGGGCGCCCAGTCGCTCTGCCCCCTGCAACCGCATCATACACCATCAAGACACAGTACCAGAACATCGCCAAAAAATCATCCAAAACCAAACCAACCCGAGAGGAGAGGCAGCAGGAAGTAATCCGGACTGAAAGAGGATGATGGAGTTCGCCGGCGCGTTGATGCCGGCGAAGGAACCTGGCGTCGCGGGGTTTGCGACTGCGTTCACCGGCGACGACACTGAGGAATTCCCTGAGGATAGATGAGCTTCAGTGAGGAGTCGGGGTTGTGACGGATTCAGTCCCACATGGTCAATGATCAATTCTTCCATGAGACAATCACATGCGCAGGTGCAAGCCCACAAGAGCCAGGTCATCAGTCATCAGTCACCACACAAATAGATACACACAGGGTGGGGGAGAAAGAGAAAAGAAAAAGAACCAAAACCAGGGTGCAGGTCAGTGCAAATCCTTCAAACATCACGACCACAAGCAACTAATCAAAAAGCAAAATCTACTACATGGTAGTGCAGGGTGCTAAAGTGGGTCCCGACTCCCAACATAAATATATATTTTTGCCAATTTCAAGATGAAAGGAAATTTTTAAATCACTTCTATCAGAAATTGCCATCAAATTATAATAGTGCTTACTTCAACTCATCCCGTTCCTTGACAAAGAAGAGGTCCAAATGTATAAATTGCAAAACTACTAGAAAGATGTAACCTCGAAATCCCAATTTTTACAATTACAATTAAATTACAATTTTTATTTCCTGCCTGAACTTAGGAGGTAACAAAAGCGGTAGTACAGCCTAAAGGATACACAGATAAACACAAATGACTCTACATGCATGCTTCAAACGCGACACCACGAACTCCATCGCGGAGCACTATTGCATTAGGACCTAATGAGAAAACACAACCCTCTCTCCCTCTGGATGAAATTAGGACCGACTACAGTCTGGGCGAATGACGAACCCCAGAGTGGACGTGCGATGCCTCATGATCTCCGGTTCCCCTTTAAAATTACCAGAGTTCCACCCATACACACTAGTTCCTACCTGGCAAGTGCGGTTTCGTCTCGGCAAGACAGAGATCACCAAGCTCCAACCATAACGGATCGGAAGGAGGCTGACTCCATTGCGACACGTACATGTCCACCGAACATGACATACGAAATAGGACAGAGAGAGAGTACGAAAGAGGGAAACTGACCATTTGTTTGACCTGGCCCCCTTCTCGCCTTTCACCCAGTGACCCCGTTTTCCCCCAACCGCCACCACCCACAGCGACCCAACCCAATCACCCTCTCCCTCACTTCCCCCCCCCCCCACGCCCACGATGTATGACGAAACGGAACTCACCATCGCTGGCCTCCATCTTCAGTCTCTTGGCGTTAATGGTTGTGGAAGGCGGTGGGGAATGATCGCTCCTGGGACCAGATGCCAGGGCACTCATCAGAACAGGCATCCCACCCACCTCCACGTCCACCATCAGACTGCAAATGGAACCGATCACAAAATCCTCATTCAACTCAAGCCATCAATCACCGACTCTTTTACACCTCACCGTCTGACATGCTCAAACGGGGGCGGCAAAAAAAAAAAAAGAGAAAAAGTCATGAGCAGGAAGTATCAAGCATAGGTGAGAATCGAGAACTGGTAAAAGGAAAACGGGGAGGGGAACAGAACCAGCAGGGCAGAAATCAGGCAAAGCTGGAGGGGTAAAGGACCGACCGACATATTTCCCTCTACCTAATTGGGTCGACACACTCTCGGCCTGGTGCGTGTATGTGGGGGGAATGTCTACATAATCCCCGTCCTCTTTCCATGCAACCGTACGACTGGGCCGGGTCGACCTCGGAACGATACCGATTCGAGCCCATCCATCCGTATCATGAACGTCTTTGGCACAGACGCGGATCGAGAGGGAGGGCTTCCGATTGGGGTCTCATATTGGCCGTTTCTGGAGATGGCGTTGAATGAGCGGGAAATGGAAGAAGGAAAGAAAAACGAGGCCAACAGCTCTTTTTCTTTTTCCTCTCTCTCTCTCTCAATCCCCTTCCCGTCACACAGCAAGAGCATTCTACCTTCCCTCCTCGATCAGGTCGAATCCACCATCCCCCCCCCCCCCCTCCCCGAATCCCCAAGTCTCGACATCGCATTGTGAGTCTCGGAGTGGGCGGACGAACCCAAGTGTGACCCAGGGGACTTGAAGGCCGCGTCCCCATTCCCAGGGACAGGGGGGAAAGGGGAAACACCGCTCAAGGCCACATGTCACCATCAACCTCATCTGTGTCAACACATGTTTGTCCTCCCACTGGACTCGATCCATTACGTCGGACCCCCCGCCACCTCCACCTGTTAGTTTACAAGATGACATTCCACGGTCCAAAATTTTTCTGACCGCGAAAGTCCAAGTCTGGCATGCACAATCGATCATCGGTTTCATCGAGAATAGCATCCTATCATTTAAAGTAGGGGGCAGCCGGCATAAAAGTATCAATCCAGAGCCGTGTTAAACGTAAGCCGATCCCCACATAACCAGGATCCACGCCACCACCTCATCCAGATATTTCCTCGTCCGATGAAACGCAATTGACGAGCAAAACATTCTCGGGACTCGATGCGTCAGGAGGACATCACGCCTACGTGCGTTCCCCATCACATCAACAGCGCCCTGCAACGGTTACGAGAGCTAATATTTAGAAACAAATACGATAAGCACGGGCTACGCATGTGTGTCAAATCCAGGAAAGCGGCTGTAGGTGCCACGACGATAAACGTTTCCAAGGGGGAAGCATCACCTGCAACCCACCCCGTATGAAATTTCTCGTACCTGTACGATCCCATCAACCTGCGAGGAAATGAAAACAAGTCCCCCCCCCCCCCGTCAGGGTCGTCAATAGAAGATGACCTTCGCCCTGTCCCTTCCCCGCGACAGAACCCCCCAAAACAAGTGAAAACAAAAATCTCCATCCCCTTTCCCCGAGTGCCCCGAAAATAACCTGTTTTTCCCTCCCCCTTCACCCCACGAGGGGAGAAACATCCCCGCTTGCACATGCTCTACTCCTTCTTGCACGCACATGTGTCAAAGGAGAAGGAAAATGACCCCGGTTGGCATACCCAGCAAAACATCCCCCCTCCGCTTTCACTACGAACTCCCCCCCCCCCCCCCCCCCCCCCCCCNNNNCCCCCCACCCCCCCCCCCCCCCCCCCCCCAGTAGCCCAACGCGTAAGGTTTTTTTTCCCCCTCTGTGAATGGCAACACAAAGGGAGGGAGAGTCACGGGGGCATGACATAGCCTCGACCCAGACCCAGCCTAGCCTCTCTCCCTCTCTCTCAGGCCTCCGGGTTACGCAAGGCCTCGTGCGACATGACACTCTCCATCCTATTTCCCAGGTTTTTGTTTCCCCCCCTCAATTCTTTTCTTTTCACTCTCCCCTTTGTTCGAGCCACGCATTCCTTTGAACCTGTCCTCTCTCGGCACAGAAGGCGTGCCAGGCCGACCGACCCCCGATAATGTCAGTGGGGTAAACAGGACCACCGGCCCCCGTTGCACGAAAGCGACCCCACGTTCTCCGCAGGGCGGACGTGTCTCGCAAGGAGATTCCACCGACTCAGCATTACAATCCAAGATTCACGCTCACTCTCCCCCAGTAATCAAAACCGAGTCCGAACGACGTCATGCCAATCGAGCACTGCCTTTGCACGCATCCTGCGAAGCAACTGGTCGCTCCCATCATCTCCGAATGTCATCGAAATGATACCATTCAACGAATGACCTCAGAAGTATTTCCGACATCCGAAGACCTTCGCTGCCTTATCTTCTCGATACTGAAGACCGCGGTTGACAGGCCAAAAGAAATAGACGGGGGAGGGGAGGGAGGTCAGAAGGGGATCCACGAAGGACGAAGGAAGAGCAGTTCATGCAACCGGGTCGCGGACTGTGCAGGTTCACTGCAGGTCCCGACTCCCTTCTTTCCCCTCTGGGTCGTAACGTTGGATAAGACCGGCTTAGGGCGCCGTGGCTCGGGGCGACGGCCATTCTTTCACATCCCGATCTTCGTCGGACATCCTTTTCCTCACTAAAAGCCCTCTTCCCCTTTCTTCGCCCAGGGAAACCAATTATAGACCTCTTTTCAGAACCCCGCCAGTTGTTTTTAGTCTTCCAAAAGCACTTTCACGTCCTCTAGTGTAAGCTCTTTCTTATCACACGTTTGCTTCAATGGAGCTTTCCCCACGCCGGCGTAGGAAAAGGGCAGGGCAGGGAAGCCGATGCCGCGTAAAAAAGCGTGAGATTGGACAACCCTGTCCCCTCTTTTCCCTCTGGCTTCTGGCCTGTTTTTACCGGATGGTGCTGAGAGCACGTGAGGGGGAGGGAAGAATGCGGGAGAGGGGGGGGGGAGGGATACTGGTTCTGACTTCACCTTGACTCAGCAATTGGGCAACTGCGCCATAGCCTGTCCTCTATCCCCCGAGGCGATCGTAAAGAGAACGCCCGAGTTCCTGTTCCACGACGAGGCTAGGGCAGGTTTCCAGTCGGCCTCAAAAAAAAAGGACGAAAAAGAGAGAGGAAAATAGTTTTTCGCTTCCTTGAAGGAGGTAGTATCTAATGCTCGCGCAGGTACATCGTCGGAGCGAGACGGCATAATGACGCCCTTTGACCTATTCCGTCGGGAATGTTCGATGCCGATCCTCGCCCATGGCCTTTTGCGTCGAGCCAATCCCAAGACCGGGAAATCAGGCAGGCCGAGGCCGTCGATTTCGGCTGACATTTCACCCAGCAAGACTGTGCCTGAACCCCCTTTCGTCTCATCGTCGCAGGGACGATGAGGGTACTTGAGAAATGTCGCTTTCATTCAGATAACTGAATGCAAGTGAGCATGCCACCGCAGAAGATCATCCTTTCCTGCAGGTCTGATTAAGAGGCGATCATCCTGAAAATTACTTGACGAGGGTGACTTGAAAGTGAAATTTCTAAGGCTATCCCCGGGCGACGACGAACTACCAGATTCTAACTTGGTGCTTGGTGTTATTAGCTTGTGACTACTGCGTGACCGTGTGACATCAGGGATAGGTATTCTTAAGAGCACGACTTCCTATTCTGATAAAATATATTACATATCGTGTTCCAATATCCCAGAAAAGATTTAAAATGTCAAAGACCGGAGTCTCCCTGTTGTGGAAACCGTTGGGGGGTCTAAGTTTTTTTTTTCTTCATAACAGATGCATTTACTACAGCCTTGCATTTATAGCATTAGGCAGAATGTAAACGTAAGAGCAATCCAATTTCCTTGACCAATTTACATACAATCAATTTATAATTGAAAACGACTAATTTAGTGCACGTGCCGCATCTTCCTTCATAAAACTGACATTGGAAGGATTGAAAAAATGATTCTGATAAATACCCAACCCTACATAGCAGTTCAATAGTGGTACAGGACACAAGATTAATGATCAGAACCGCCTCATCTCTCATCTTAAATTTCGGCCAAGAGAATAAAACGCCTAGGCCCGCGAATCGTCCCAACGAGAAAAGGCAACACGCAACATAAGCCCCACGTACGCTCTGCTATCGCTCGCATCAGCTGTCCGAAAGGCGATCGCAGTCCGGTGTCACAGTAGGCGGATGTCAGTCGCGCCACGAAGGCCATCCGGGCCCGCTGCTGGGTGAGTCAACAAAGACGGGGCGATTCCATCGAATCACATGATGTCACGGATGGAAAAATGTGGGAGAATAACACACAGATACGAGAGATGCTACAGACGGGCGCGCAGCGCAAACACTTTCGAAAAAAAAACTCTATCTCTAGGCATTCATGCATTCATTCCTCCGACGAAGGAAAGGAAAACGTGTAAAATTCTTTATCAAGACAACCTGACAAGCGATAAGGACAGGAAACGAAAGTTTATAAGCTCAAGAACCTCTGCTCATTTCAGAATTCCCGGGGAACCGCCAAGCAGCCTGGAAACCCAATTTCTTCTATTTAAACAAATCATCTTCCAATCTAAGTAAACATCAACTACATCATGAACTGATACTTATTCTCTTCGGATGGCTACCGAACGAGGAGCGTACTATGTATGAACCATCAACGGAGGTGCGATCCGTCAAGCACTTCTCAATCTCAATGTTCCCAAGCGTAATAAAACCTTCACCCTGTAATTCACACCGCTTAGTGTAACTCGATTGAGAGGCATCAGCTGAAAGGGGACTTTAAAGCAGATGTAAAAGTCAGGCACAATTAGCGCGAAGGGGCGTAGCAGACTACACGACAGCATAATGGACTCCCCATGCTTCACTCCATTGACCTGGATAGATGGACGGTCCATCACCTTTCTCCCAGGGGGGGAATGATTCTCGAAGAAACACGAAACATGGTGTGTATCACGTGGCTGAAAGGGATGGTGGCACCCTACTGTCCACGGCGAAGGCCATCAAGATCTCCTATATGCCCTTTAAGACGCGGCATAATGACCTTGTACAGACTACGAAGGCGAATCAGCAAGGGATCAAGGAATGACTCGTGCGGGTTCGGTGTCATTACTGAGTAGGGTGGGGAAGGGAAGAAAATGCAAGGGGGCGAGAATACTATGCTCACCTAGTGGACAGTGAGAGAGAATGAAATGAAGAACAAGTGGCCACTGGCGAGTATCACTGGTCACCGGACGGCGCGAGGACGGGAATGACCGAAGGACCGAGGGCCTGAGTTCCCCCCTGGAGGCTTGAGGGGCCGTCTACCCTGGTCCGGGGCCTGCATATGACGCCAAACGCCCGCCCTCTTACGAGGTCTCCCCCTCTCTTTTCTCTCGCTCGCAACCGCTCCCCTCTCGCCTCTCCCCTATAGCCCTCTTTGCCCTCCCCTTCCATGCCCTCATCAACATCCTCCCCTCTCTCCTCTTCTTCAAGGACAACCAGCAATGGAATCTCGGCTCTGAGGCCGAATGTCTCTCTCTCCCCCCTCGTACACGACATGCAACGAGGACCGTTCCATGGCACGACCGAGAGGCCAAGGGGAAATCGCCTGTACGAGATGTGTGCTCCGAAGCGTGCGACGTGAATGAAACACAGAATCGGGGAAGAAGGCGGAAGCGAGTCATCAGGGCGTGTAAGGAACTAATCGCCGGGCGAAAACTCCTTCACCTGGGAAGAGTTCCTGGGGATCATCATCAGATGACCGCTCACACATACACGGTCGTTCACCTACCTATCTGGTCATGCCACTCCAAAAGTTTTCGCTCATAAACGTATCTACTCTCCTTATCTACGCAGGCTTCCTGACCCTTCTTCCCTCGTCCGTGTGACAGGAAACGAGGTCAGTCCCCCAACTGTTCAAGGGCGCACGTAGCCTCTCCTGCGGGATCTCGCAACCCGATCGGAATCTTATCTTGACCTCCCTTCTGACCTTGAACCACCCCCCTACCCGCAGCTGAGGACATGCATACATTTCTTTTTTTCTCTCTTGTCTCACAATCCTTTCAACCGGAATCAACCCCTGCGGCATTGTCTCACCTGAAATCCTCAAGCACCTGTGGGTTTATGAGCTGACACCTAGCAGGATGGCGCCGAAACTCTACCTCCCTCACTTCTCATCAGATGTCGCAGGCGCGTCTCTAATCCCCAGGTGCACGCATTTACCGAGAGCTTGCTTAACCTAACCACGATTATATAAACGTTTACTTTTAGGGCTTTTTCAACTAAAAACGATCGACAAAATTATCTTCTAACGAGATAATTTTCAGAGATGCTCCCGAGTTACGAGGTATCGCAATAAAAAAAAAAGAATTTACCATCAACATAAAAACTCAACAATAATTCAAAAAAGAGACTCAAACCCTGCTCAGATAAAATTCCTGACTTCTATGCGGCTCCAAGCTCATCTGCACACCCACAAGTTATGATCGCGTCAAGTACTATAGGCCTGACACTGTTCGACTCGTGAAACATAATGAACGACCAGCAAAAGACATCCCAAGACCTCCTGGTCGACACCCATCAAAACCGCTTTGCAATATTTACATATCTTCCTCAACGCGAGTAGAATACCCATGCAGTAGGATCTTCGATATCCTCTCAAGCGCCAAGAGCACAATCCCAACCCACCTCGGAATCCAGATGACATACACACGGGCTCCCACACCGAAAACGAGGCAAAGCCGCCTCAATTGCGTTGCCTCCAACTTCAAGCAACGCATCGTGCATCGCATCACGACCACGAACCACCGAACTCCTCCGCTCCCCATCGCAAAAGATCACGAAATCAGGAGCTCGCCCGGGACAAGTGGTTTACTCGGAGCAGCAAACGCGGGAAACTGAGCCGAGGTCGCCGAGGGTGGAGGGCATTCACACCCCTTTGCCCCCCAGCGACGCGGTCCAGACAGACAAAAAAAAAAAACCTGATTCCATCTCATTCCTTGCTTTAGTGTATGAACGCCGAACCACTGTAAGAAGTACAGTACACCGCAACAATAGAAAAACGATTGAGTGCAAGAAAAGCTTTACAGCAGGCATTCAGATCAACGAAGCTCCCTGATGCGAACTTGCAAAAATTAACTGTCGCCCCGAGTGAAATTAAACTAGCGGCACACCCTAACTGAAACGGTTCCTAACACCCAGCGAATTGATTTACTACAAAGAAGCACAGTAATTTTGTTTTATTTCGTGCCTCCTCAGGCACTGCCCACGACAAGTCTACGGCACATACAAAGCCACATTACATGAAAGCAATATCGACCCATGTTGAAAATAGCGCGAAATGTAAGTACCATCTATGGAACAACCCTGACCAGGCCCAGCCAGCGCCATCTCACGGACGAACTGCTGACCCACAGCCACTTGCCAGAGACATCTACAGTTCAATGGAAACATGAAGCAGGGGTAGGGCTTTCCAAGTGAGAAGGAAAGCGCATCGGATCCTATGACCTCCCGTTTGGCATGCGTTACGTAAGGGACTCACCGCAGGAAGGGCGGAGGGTGCCGAGATGAAGTCTGGAGGAGCACCGGGATTTATCTGACTCAGCTTCGCTTTCGTCGCACTGTTGGGAGTCGCAATTCACGGGGATGGAGAAACACGTGTCACTGGGATTCATCATGATGCATTATGTTCTGGGGCAGGACTAGAATCGGTTTTGGGCCGATGATCACCGGATCTAAAGGAAAGCGAGGATGTACGAGCCCCGTACCATGCTTGCGTGGTGTCCGACCGCACCCGTGAACTTTGGCCCGAATGGCTGGGTCAGGCTATCGACCTGGGGTGTGGGATCTCATATGCCTCCTGTCTCGGATCCGTGAGAACCGGGCTCGAGCGCAGGTGCCAAGTCCTGCCCCACCCCACGACGCAAGGCAAAGGAAACGGAGGAGGAGGAGGAGGAGGGAATGAACTTTGGCCCTGTTGGCGTCATCGCCCGCCGGGTCAGTCTATCGACCTGCCGAGCGCATGTCCTCGTCCCCAGAGCCACTGCTCCCGTCCTACTGGCCCCCTTTCTCCTCCCCCTCCTCCGTTTCCTTTTCTTCCCCCTAGATGATGGTTGCCCGGGCAACCGAGGATTCCCTCTTCATCCTGAACTCAGATGCACGCACCACTTTCCTCCCTCTTACCCCGATCGTGATCGCCTGTTTACTAAGGCCGCAAAGGACTTGACAGGCCGGGAAACCTCTGACTCTATTCACCCGAAAGCTCCTTCCCGAAATGTCGAAATCTCAGGGACCTTTTACGAAGTCGAGTCGCTGGGCTATAGGAATTCTGGACGGCATTCATCCATTCACCAAGGCGCTACTTGCATTTAACTTGCAACTCATGGGAATAGGCACAATATGCTAACAGTAAATTAGCAACACAGGTCATGAGCCAATAAAGTTTAAGTGCAAACAATACCAAAGAAACAAATATCAAATCCAAGAGGATTTGGTAATTTTATTATGGGTTCTACACCAGATCATGAAGAGGATCATTGAAGATTTTGGGCATTCATGCTTCCACAGCCAAAATCGGATATTTCAAGGGTACCTCTGCTAGTATTTTACTGCACAAAATTCATTAGGATTAGGTTAGGACTACAGGATAATAGCATAAAAGCCCTTACCTATGTGGGTTGCTAGTTGTATTGAGCTTGTCATGTATAGAGGACATGACAAGTGTAAATTTGGCACAGAAGTGTTCAGCAATGTGATTATGTGAGCTATGTGATATGAACTATTGAGCTATGAAATTCATTCATTACACCTGCTGCATTTACTCTCAAGGTAATAAAACCTTACATGCATTTCCTAAGGCTATGACTTGTGGATTATTTCAGCTAGGCTATGACACCCTGAGCACAAAAGTTCGTTGCTCAAGGCATCAAGAACAAGGGGAAATATACAGCTCAAGTACAGAGGAAACTCATTAAATTGAACTCCATGTGGCAAAGCAAAAATGTTTTGAGCTATCTGAAGTTCAACCAATCAAATACAGGACCAGGGATGGAGAAAAAGCCATATGAGAATTTATTCAACTTCAAGAATCTGATTTTTAAAAGTACCTTCTCTTCAAGTATAAGAGGTTTCAGTTTCAGTTTTTTTTCAGCAGGTTCAGGGGGGTCATTGCACAAATGAATGAAAGAATTTGACAGGAGAGGTACCATGTGAAAGAATTGAACTGAGACCATACCAATGATTCCCTCATTCTTAATTGCAAAAGTTTCAATATCCCTTCCACAGGCATTTATGAGCGGAAGGAGGGGGGTAGATGAAATTATGAATTTTGGATGAAGGGGTTAATTTTCCTTTCAAAGTAGAAATAATTTTTTTGCTACTATGAAAACTCCAATGAATATTTTGTGTTTTTCTTTAAAGTCCAAATATTACACTTCAAGTTAAAATTGAGAAAATTTAAATTGGGTATGCCTAAGAGGTAAGAGATATCAGGAAACTTGAGATAAGTGAATCAGAATTGAACTGAATATTCAACATTGAGTTCTATGTAATTTTGCCAGGACCAAACATTGCACTCCCAAGATAAGTCATGTTTCAAGATGTTAATGTCCAACTCAATGGGTTTCTCTTGTCTCAGTATAAAATCACTGAAAATTAAGATTGGAATGCAAACAAGAAGAGTCAATGGTAGAATTAAACCTGAAGATGTGACAGATAGGCTTGACCTATCACTTAGAATCTTCGATCTTGTTTCTAATAAGGCACATCATCAAGAAAAGCAAAGTCAATGAGTCTCCCTACCAGAGCCGTTCTCCAGATCCCTCCAGCTCAACTGACCATTGATGCCCTCACCCAAGATAAGGTGACTCATCATATCACCAATTTTTTATTTATAACAAGGCCAAACATGGGTTTCAAGACACTCAACTCGAGTATTGTTTCAGGTTATCTGCTGTTAATGTAAGTTCTTCAAGCTGAGAATAAATTTCCAGGTCAGCTCACTGAATCTCCATTAACCAATTTCAGCTGGTTCAGTTTTGAAATAGGAAAATATAAGTGCACCAATTTCCCTTCTTACAGCTCTTGAAAGTGATTTAATAGCTAAGCGCTCAGCATGCCTATTTGCATGCCTGAAACATGGTCAGCTGAATTACACCTCATTGATTAAATATCTGCATCTGAAAGCCAACATGTGGGCGAAGATGCGTAGTGCAACAACTGACAGCTACTGAAGTGGATAAGATCTTTAGATTGGATCCATTCTTGGATCTGGCGAGCTTATCATACCTTATGCATACGTAAGGCCTATGCACTATCGAGGAACAAGGCTTTATGTCTTCGTGGATCTCACGGAAAACGTTGGAACAAGAGCTGAACAAGACAGAAGGCGTATGAAATGTAAACCCCGGTGTACAGGTAGGCAAACAGTACTGCATACGAACAGTGGTGTGGGTATGAGCACCAATGGTGGCGGCCATCCTACTGGTCCACTATTGGCAGAGATGATCGATGACGTCATGAAACATGTATGGTCGCCGCCATCCGCTGTAGACGTGCGACAGGCGGTCGCGGTTCGGTTTTAGGGATTTGTTGTGTCTTGTACCTTTGCAGTTGAATAAGGAATACCGACGTTGTTAGCTATGGTTGTACGTTCGTACAATGATGAACTCAAGTATTTGGAGAAGATCTCTCCGAATAGCTGGAGGATTAAGAAGGGGTTTCAGCCAAACATGAACGTGAGCCCAGGATTCTTTAGTCGTGTCGAATGTCCTGCATTCCATTTTCCTGATAATTGTTTGGTTGAATCCGCAGGTAGAAGGAATATTCTACGTGAATCAGCAATTGGAGAAGTTGATGTTCGATGAATTGAGGAATGCATGTCGCCCGGGAATGGTCGGGGGCTTCTTACCAGGCATGAAGCAAATTGCCAATGTGGCTGCCTTGCCTGGTATTGTCATGCGCTCTGTTGGACTACCTGATGTCCATTCAGGTTATGGATTTGCTATAGGTTGGCCTTGGCAGAAGTATGCCAAACTGCTAGTTTACTCTCTTTTTTGAGGAGACATGGGTAAAGATGGCATGGAATGAGATTTGTTGACTTCGGGTTTTCTCTTCTTGTGTTTCTTTCTCAGGAAATATGGCAGCATTTGACATGGGAGACCCAAAAGCTGTTGTATCTCCAGGGGGTGTAGGATTTGACATCAACTGTGGTGTGCGACTGCTTCGCACGAACCTCACGTTCAAAGATGTCCTTCCTGTGAAAGTAAGTCAAGTCACACATAGGGTCATGCTAACCAAAAGCAAATCAAGATACTAAGAGATAGAGTTACCTACCTCCACAGACGTTCATGCAATTTTATTTCACTCTCAACAGGAGCAACTGGCCCAGGCAATGTTTGATCACATTCCTGTTGGAGTAGGATCAAAGGGCATCATCCCAATGAATGCAAGAGACCTGGAGGAAGCTTTAGAAATGGGAATGGACTGGTCGCTCAGAGAAGGTTAGTTGAGATTTATTTATCTGTTTTGTGTCTGCTGGTAGCAATTATATAAATTGTTGGGTGATGAGGAGTACAGGTGCATTTGGGTATACTAAACCTCATGGACACATCCACCAAGTTGCTTGGCCTGAAAATTCATTCATTCATTGATTTTTCAAATGAAGAAACTAATACTGATGAAGTTGATTGTGTGTACCATTTCTCCTTAGGATGTTTCTTTTTGGTTGACATGGCCTCAGAGGGTTCATGAAGGTATATAGGTATCTCTCCTTAAATTTCTGTTGCATGAAGAAGACATTACTTGCAGAGTGAGTTTCTATGGAGCAGTGTATAAGATTATCTCTGAAAGGTGGTAGACACATAAGTGCTTTGTTTTATTGCACCTTCATGCTTCCCATTATTGATATATCTGATATAATACATTGTCAACTTTCCCTACACTCCATTATAGCCTTCCACAGGGGTTTGTTGATGCTCTGTTTTCATGTGATTTAATGTTCTGCATGTACTCAGGAGGAATGCTTGTTTTCCTGTTGCATTTAAAAAGCTGAGTTTTTCACCACAAGCTCAATTAGTGAGTCATGCTGAATGAAAGCTGTTGCCAAAAATTGCTTATTCCTTGGGCCATCTATTAAGGAAGAAAGCAACAAAAAATACTGATGATATGTGGCTTATTGCAGGAAGGGGGAAGGGGTGTGCATTGTGTTTGAGTGTTAATGACTTCTTGGAGCTTATTCTCCTTTTCTCCCAATGCGGAATTGTACTGCACACCTGTTCTTTCCTTCAATCAGTCAGGTGATATCTGTTGAATTTTTCACTGCTTTTATGTCCTGAACAAATGGTTTAATAAATGCACAAGTTTAACAATATCTTACATTCATCAGGCCTTGCAGATGGAGCAAACTCTCACTTCTGGCTTTCGGACATAGTGAATACCTCGTTTTAGAGTAATCTGAGGTACTGTACAGTCTCATAAAAAGGAGCAGCGTATATGGCAGTTGTAATGATTTCTTTCCTCTGTTTGAACAATTCAGTTTATTTTTTTGCTTTTAACTAAACCTGTTTTAGACAGTTTTGTTTGGTCATCTCTCATGTGGTGCTAGAAGCAATTGAAAGGTGTTAAGGTACAGAGTGACACATAATATTTAGCCCTCTTTATGAAGCCAATTGATCTAACTTGGACATGAAAAGTTTTTAATTTCTGCAAAAGACATTGAGTTTGCACTGATGCTTTTAATTTGATATATCTATGTGCAGGAGTTATCTACATTTGCAACCTCTGGTATCCATGCTCAAGGCCTTCATTAGGATGGAGAGAAGTATTCCAGTTGAGTACAGTATTTATGGTTGGACTTGATAAGAAAAAAATCTTGGCAAAATAAAAGCTAGATCTTGTCAAGATGACAATGAAGTCACAACCAGGTAAAATGAGGGGAGAAACAACACAAGAAAAAATCACTATTCAAAAGTTTATCAACACTTGACTGGGCATTAAGGGTAGAGGACATCTCATCAAGACTTGGCAAGAAACCAAATTCAAGATCTTGCCAAGTGTCTTGTTTGAAACCAAACCCTTTAGGGTTTGGTATTATTGCTTTCCTTCAAGACATGAAGTAGCACATTTTCCTCTCCCAAGTAAATTTCTCACATAGCATGCTATTGGCTATGTTGGTATTCATGCTGAATTTTAATGGCATCTCTGCCAATCCAACTAAATGTACTTTCCAGATCTAAAAAGCTTCTCGTGTTGAAGTTAAACTAGGCTGAGGGGTCAAAATACTGTGTGTCATCCTGTATAATAAGAAACACTAATAGCTTCTCTTAAGACATTTTCAAGAGGTTATTTATTTTTTCTTCACATATTTAATTTGATGAAACTCTGCTCTAGGCTATATCTGGGCAGAAGACAAGGAACACTGTGAAGAGTATGGTCGGATGCTGAATGCTGATCCTGCAAAGGTTAGCCTTCGTGCAAAAAAAAGAGGTCTACCTCAGTTGGGAACCCTCGGAGCTGGAAATCACTATGCAGAAATCCAGGTTGTAGAGGAAATATTTGATAAATGGGCAGCTTGCAAGATGGGAATCGAGGCAAAGGGTCAAATTTGCGTGATGATTCATTCTGGGAGCCGAGGTTTTGGACATCAAGTGGCCACAGGTAATCAATCTGCTTGGTGCCTGGAAGACTAGTATTCCCTTCCTAATGCAAAGCATGTGTTTCTCCTATAATTTGTTTTTATTTATTATATAAAGATGCCTTGGTGGCTATGGAGAAGTCAATGAAACGAGATGGGATTGAAACCAATGACCGACAGCTGGCATGTGCAAGGATCTCATCTTCAGAAGGACAGGATTATTTGAAGAGCATGGCTGCTGCTGCCAACTTTGCTTGGGTCAATCGCAGTTCCATGACTTTTCTCACCCGCCAGGTCAGAGCTCTTATGCATTCCTTGCTGGAGTAATATCTCCATGCCGGCATGAAGCAGTTGGATTATTGACAGACATGATAGTGTATCAAATCTGATTTTTCATAGGCCTTTGCAAAGCAGTTTGGCATGGCACCAGATGACTTGGATATGCATGTCATCTATGATGTTTCCCACAATATTGCCAAGATTGAAGAGCATTTTGTGGAAGGCAAGCTTCGCACACTCCTGGTGCACCGAAAGGTAATCTCAACCATTCTCTCCATAAGATTAACATCATCAAGTGACTGTAAAATGCAAATTTTATGGATTGTCATGATGTGTGACTTAGGGTATATAAATAATTGAATTGCACAGGGCTCAACAAGGGCATTCCCACCCCACCATCCCCTGATTCCAGTAGATTATCAACTAACTGGGCAGCCTGTTCTCATTGGTGGAACCATGGGAACATGCTCTTATGTTCTGACTGGGACTGAGCAAGGAATGCAAGAAACATTTGGTTCGACCTGCCATGGGGCTGTGAGTCATTATTTATTCACTTGGAATGCATGACTGCTACCTGTGTATTTGTGGCTTCTTTGGGATCAATTTTGACTATATGTAGTTGAGGAAACGATAGATGGTCCTTTCTTTCATTTTTAACTTTACTGCTGATGTCCAGATGGTAACCTTTGTGAATAATTGATCAAAGAAAATGTTGATCTGACTGTAAATCTTATGTAAATTTATTGCTTCAAGACTCTCCCCATGTAAAGGTGATATAATTTGTTAGTCTCACAACAAATTTTTATTTTAAGCATGCCATGATGACACAAGTGGAACCTTTGATCTGCAAAATTTTACTGGGCTAAGTGAACTGTTTCGCCCTTTGAAGTCTGTATTCCATAATGAGAGACTACTTAAATGTATATGAGCCTGGTGCTTGTGCATTAAAAAGCTGATGCCTGAATGTTTTATCTATATGATGATTAGAAAATGAATTAGGTGTTCAGCTGACATGACAGTTGAATGCAATTGCAGATACACTCTCCTTAAGAGCTAGATGGTTCAAGATTGAGACTAATCATTATAACCATGCAGATTCATAAGCTACCACTTCAAATTCCATGGATATTCCACTTCTTGAGCAAAAATAAAAAAGGTCTAGTGGAGAAGCAATATGTTTTGAGGCATCCTGGGCATAACTAATGGAGCATGATGGATATCTAGGGCCTTGAAATTCTGTAAAGCCTATGCAGATAGGTGCCTGTCCATTCAGTATAAGAATTATGGACCTCAGCTGTTGACTGAATTTCAATCTGTTGGCACTGCACCTCCTCCTGTACTGGTGTAGTCGGTTCATTTTCTTTTGAGTGTCTTGTTCTTTTACATATACATACAGGGTGGCCCAAAAGTTTTTGGACCGATTTTTAAATGCCAATATCTCAGGAAGTATTGAAGCTAGAGACTTGAAAAATCACCAAATAAAAGTTCAATTCATCCTCTTTCCAATGATGTATGGTTTTCCAGTCGTAGGTGTCATGCCATGGCCGCAATGGTCATTTGAAAAAACCATGCTTGAAAAAAAAAGTTGTAAACNGGAACAAAAGATGTAGCAAGGAAGTGCATACGAGGTCTGCCGAAAACCAGAAGAGCCAACAGTTAACAACTGAACTCGTCTGAGCATCGAAGCGTGGGCGTCTCACTTGTCCCGCATAATCCCTCACTTCCTCTTCCCTAGCTGTCTGCTGGTCAGCATCTTACAATTTCTACGCACCTAATGGTCCCAGTCGAGGTGCACTTGCCTGTCTGGTCTTCCCGGGTGTGACACGGATGCAGGATAGTAGCATCAAAATATCCTTGCAGCTCTTTTTTCAGGTTTGGTTTTTTCAAATGGCCATTTCAAATTTCAAATGGCCATGGCATGACACCTACGACTGGAAAACTATACATCATTGGAAAGAGGATGAATTAAACTTTTATTTGGTGATTTTTTCAAGTCTCTAGCTTCAATACTTTCCGAGATATTGGCATTTAAAAATCGGTCTGAAAACTTTTGGGCCACCCTGTATATACCTTGAACTATTCTTGTCCTTGAACCCTCTTTCTCATTTGCATATTTTGTTCCTTTCACTGAACATAGAACAAAGTATATGGCTAGGCATTTTCCCACTATAACTTTATGCAACTACAAGGCATGAAAAGAAATTTTGGAATTTTTAGGTTTTCTGCCTTTGGAGGTATTTTCATGCAATTTATTGACTCCTTGCAGGGTCGAGCATTATCCCGTGCCAAATCTCGCCGCAATATTGACTATCAAGATGTTCTGGATAGGCTTCAGGAAATGGGAATTTCCATCAGAGTGGCATCTCCAAAACTTGTCATGGAAGAAGCCCCAGAGTCCTACAAGAATGTGACTGATGTGGTGGATACGTGTCATGCTGCTGGTATCAGTAAAAAATGCATCAAGCTCAAGCCCATTGCTGTCATTAAAGGTTAAGAGGCTCTCTGAAAACTATCAAGAAGCATCCCAGAATGGTCTTTCTGCAAGAATCCATTCTCTGAAACATGCCAAAGAAAGTTACTTCTACACTGAGCCTACCAGATGAGCTTCTTTAGCAAGATGAGCTTCCTTAGCTCATTAACATTTTTTGAGAATGCAGTATGACCCCAGACATGAAAAATTTAGGACATCTGGACTTGGACTGGAAAGAACCTTATAAGCCATCTGATTCCATCCAACTGTGATGCTATGTGGTCTTCATTCTAATAAATTTTTCCTTTGTGCTCATGTTAATGTTGAAATTGCAATTAATTTAAAAAAAAAAGATATCAGCATGCTCAGGGATGAGAGGTCATTCTCACTCCCACACCCTTGGGAAGCTGGGAGCCCTTATGATCTGAATACACTGATACGGTTGCAATGTATGAATGGAATGCACTGAATACATTTTTGTTCTTGCTGTTGGTTCTGTACAGGTTAGGTGGAAAGAGAGACTGGATGACTGTGTTGCACTTGTGGAAAGAAAGTGCCTACATTGCTGCTGCAAAGTCTCTGCCGATGTGGAATCAATGGTTTCTTGAAGGGTTGAAATAGATGAGCAAGATTTACAGCAGCTCTATTAGCGACATGTACACAGTTCCATGTGCAGGAGGTTCTTTGGTTCAGATAAATGATTTCATGGGTATCATGCTTGCTCTCATACATGAATTCCAGCAAAATGTTGGGTAGTCCCTTTTTTGGCAATCTGACTCGTGTTGATTTAAGCGTCCCGATCAGCTGCAAATTATTAAGTACAGGTTGGCTGATACTCTTTAGATTTGCGGGGCCCTTGTTTGGATGGTTTTTTTTTATGAGTGACCCCTTCGGGACGACTGAACAAACCATAGTTGGCATAGATTGAGTAAGATGGCAGGCGATGCATACAGTCGCGTACGGGAGGTTCGTCCGTGCACGAGACAGCTGGTTTGAGCATGGCATGCGCTCCTGTGTTTACATCACATCAGCTGATCCAGCGTCGATCCTGCACATGCGCGGGAGACCTGCATACGCAGAGAAAAGGGAAAGCCTGGCCTGGCTGTGGCTGGCTCGGCTCAGCTCCGTTTCCTCCTGTTGCCAAGTTGCTTCTCGGTGTCAGTGCGCTCCCTCGCATCCCCTCACTGTTTTCTCCCCTTTCCTTTGTGTCCGCCTTCCCTGTGGAAATGAATTTTGATGATGGGCTCTCGCTTCGTGATGGTTGACGGAGCGAGCATCTAGGCTTTGATTGGGTCATTGGGGACGAGGACGCAGCGGACTTTTTGGCGTCGAGGAAAAGAAATAGCCTCGACCAGGACTGCTCTGCCTTTCTCCCTTCGCTTCGTAGTCTGGGGCGCTGCCTGTGTTCTGGCTCGCTTCGAGGAATGAATACAGTAGGCTGCTTAAGCTGGCCTAGACGTAGAGAATGGACCTGTTTTCTGTCCCGTCGCGTGTCTGTGCTAAGGCCTGGCCTAGGTCCCGGCGGAAGGACTGCCTTCTGATGCGTCGTTCTCCCGATAGATGCAGTCGATAGGCTACGTGGAGGTAGATTCTCTGCATGATGGTCACGTAACTTTCTCCGTGGACGTTGTCAGGAGTGTTTACGCAGTCGTGGTTCATCATGTGGACGTGGAATCACGTCTGGAGATGCAAGGGTCCGATAACATTATATAACCTTGCTTTGCCGTAGGCTGGTACTATCGATACGACTGTCCTTTTCGGTTGAGTTATGACACTTTCGAGACTGGACGCAGCGGGGAGTACATGAGAGATTCTTCGTATCGTATCGTTGCACGGAACGATCGTGTTGCGAAATCCTCGTTCGTAAAAGCACGGCTGAAACCGTGTTTTGCTTCGCGTTATCGAATTCCAATGCCGATGAGGTGGTCTTTATGGCGTACAGTATGTAGCCCACCCTCTGTTCGAGAGATGACGTCGCATCATTGGGCCAATTTTTTTTTTTTTTTTTCCAAACAAAAGCATCGGCCTGCCTGAGGGGTGGGGTGTATCTACGGTGAGGTTTAAACATATGGGAGGAGCAGAAACGAACATTTCCTTTGCTAAGGTGGCGTGAGGAAGAAGAGACAAGGGCAGTTGCCTTGCGCCTGCTATCGATGGCAAGTTTTCTGCGCCTGTCCGCATGCGCATGTTCGTCCATGACCTTATAGTCGACGGGGGAGGCAAAAGGACTCCTCCGGAGATATCGAACCCATCCACAGGTTTTCCTACGGTCCTTGACCCTGACCCTGACCCTTAACAGGCTAATCATCTGTGCATTAGCGCAGGGCTAGGCCACCACATCCATTCGAAAAGGGGCAACCCATTTTCTTATTTTCACAGGTGGGTGAGGCGAGCCATCCAGGCCCTCGGAGCGGGCCTACAAGGTCCCAAACGGTGACAAATCCTGCGTCTCAGTGGACTTAGCCTAACGATCCTCCGAGCCATGACACAAGGCGAGGATAGTGAGTGAAGGGTGTGCGAAGTGACTCATCGCCGACCGAGCCTACCTCGATCAATAACAAAGTGGGCGTGTGCGTGTGGAAGGAAGGACGACTCTAGGGCCGCGGGCGAGGCGAAGGAGGTGTTGATGAAAAATTCACTGTGATCGCGATTCCAGATCCGGGAGATGTCTTCGCCAAGTGCTGGCAAGCGTCGAATGGACACTGACGTCATCAAACTGTATCCTTTCCTGCTGCGACATGTTTCTATAGTCGGTATTCCCAAAAATGGATGTTAGTAACCAGATTAGACTTTAACCCTGGCCAGATATAATGAGGAACTTACAACTCGTTGGCAGCTCTGGTGTCGTGTGAAGTTATGAGATAGGCGCAAATCCTTCTCGAGTAACCAAATTTGTGTTAAATGAGATTAACTTAATTTACTGCTTAGGTGCAACTTGCATCTCACATAAACCTAATTAGAACCACATTTAACAGGAGGTCTCGGAAAAGAAGCAGATAAAGCAAAGGGTTGAATGCAAGTCTCTGCATTGACTGGGTACCTCTAGGGCCCCTACCCGTTATTATATGGGCATAGGCCTGCACTTCAGACGGACTTTTGATGAGTTGACAATTGTGTCCTTGGAGGTGTCTTTGTTACGCTTGCAAAGATAAAACTGAAACAATAACAGGCTTATTTTTTCCATATATAGACTATGATAGAATGTAGTACTTGGTACAGTGACATATAAATGAATTCATGCAACACTTAACTTGGGCTTGGAAGCCTGATGTCACATCTTTCATGGGACCCATCCCCTCAACTTCTTGCATACACTACAGGAATAACATGCAAAATATGTGATGTTGTATGAATTCAAGTGTTTTTGTGGTAATACAGAATGAAGTAATGGATAGTTTATTTTTTCATAAAACATAGGTTAGTCTGACAAAGGTACTTATAAGAGGCTGTTCTTGGTTTCCATTTCTCCATCATGAGTATTTTGCCCGCAAGAAGTTCCACGTTATTTGGTAAATATGTTCCTATAGTCTTAAACTGCTATTTCATAGGTCTAGAACTATTGACATCTCAGAGATGGGTCAATCATACATCTTTTATATTTCAATTTAATCAAAATCAAAACTGAGTCATGTAGTGAATGTCCTTGCTGTTTTGAGCTGAAATGGAAATCTTGGTAGCTTTGGGTAAATTAACTAATGAAATTCAAATATCTTTCACATTTTAGAATTGAACCTTATTTATTACATCTTGTGCTCATCAGACAGTAGCACATGGACCAGGACTTATAAGCAGCTCCTGAAGTATGTAGCTGGAAGTAGTGACAGCTTATCAGTGAAAGCAAGTAGGCCTAAGCCTTCCCTGTCTTTATTGACAAATTCCAGCCCATATGCAAGAACCTAGACAGCCTATTTAATTATTATCATAATAAATATCAGGCAATAGATCTATAATTTGCTAGGTTCACATATGCAAGAGCAATTAATAGGTAGTAATCATGAGGGCTATTTTGATAGGTATCATCATACCTATCATTTTATCTATTAAGATAGATAATAAAATACATATTTTATTAGGTATCTTCTTGATAACAACCTCCTATTCATTGTCTTGCACCCAGGAAAAATGCCATGTGTATCTGCTTGCATTATGACTGACCAGTGTGGGTGATGATTTAATGGCAATATTCTGACTCCGTTTACCAGACTAGTGCTTGAATTCTGATTGCCATGGCTTAATACAAATAAATTTAAAGAATTTAACTTAGCCCAGAGTAGCTGCATTCTACACAATCGTGTGTCTTCTACACATTCGTGACAGTTCACATAATTCATGGTGCTAGCAAAATACACTGTATCCATTCTGCTTATCTAATATAATCATAATAAATTGAAGAGGTTTTTTTATTTTTATAGGGATAAAATGTTTCTGCATATGGCCATCTTATTCAACCTATCTAATTTCTCATTTATTACCCCTGGCAAAATGGCTATTTTACCAGTTTCATATGCTTTTGCATACCAATCTACCACTTGACCTTAGTACCTGACATCCAATTATTGTATCAACTAGGAATCATTTATATTGTATCAGTTTGAAAGAGCAGATATCCATTCCTTCCATGTTGTAAAAATTGTATTAGTATTTTTTAAAGTTTGCCATCTCTGTAAGATACACACTCCTTTGTTCCTGACCAGCTGTCACCCAGATATGCTCCATATTGTTTGCATTGCTTTTGTCCAAGACAAATCAAAACCTGAGTCATTTGGCATATGCTTTCTTGTTGGGCAAGCCAAAAGACAAAGGCAGAAAATACTTTTTCATTAAATGGACCTGAATATAAAGTAACACATCAGCCAAGTTAAAAGAACTCCTTCATTGTGTGGACCTGCTTCCAGAATATGGACTGCTATAGTGGTAGACTGTCTTGGATTGTTTTGCTATGGATACAGCTCTCAGAACACAGTATCATGCTACATCTATGTATGTTAATGTGGTATTCACTAATGGAACCCCAGCCAATTTTTTGGAATTGGTCACTGCAAGTAACAGGCATTGTACGTCTTGCGCACACCACCAGAGCACCATGCACACAATGTGCACTCGCATAGTGTGTATTGCGCATACTAAGGCAACATGCCCCTATGCAAGAGGGTTATCAAAGCCCAACATGGCACACATGAGGAAGTTGTTGTTGCATCAAGTGGGGGACCGTTGGAGCCATCTTCACTACCAGCGTAAAATGCACAGAAACGGCTTTACCGTCCCGACCGGAGCCACTGTTCTCAAGCAATTTCCTTGCAAAAACGACGTTTTGA